GACCCGAAATTTCATTTTTTTTGGCTCCCGCTCTCAATCGTATACTCCGCTCTCAATCAGGCGAAAACCCTGTTGTTTGTAGCTAACCTCACCTCGGGATCTCGCGTGATATCAGCACGCTAGCGACAGGAGGAAGATTCGGGGGACGTGACGCCGCTTCCGGTGGGAGGGGAAGGGGCCCTTTTCACCAGGGACCGCCGGGCAGCAACCTCCCCGCCTACCTTGTACCTCAGCAAGGCTACGACTCCAGCATCTACCCCCCCAACATGTACCGCCCGCAGGGAAATGAACCTCCCATCCACCCGAATGACCCTCGCAAGCGGTGTGAGAACTGCGGTGAACTCGGCCACAACTACCTGTTCTTGCCTTCCCGTGTTGATGTCGGGAGGCCAGCTGGCATGCCGGCAGGCAACGCGCCGCCCAGGCACCCGCCGCCCCGGCCGCCGGCCGGTGGTTACAGCCAGCGGCCGCCTTGGGCACACTCGTATGGGCAGGCAAATACGGCGCAGCAATACGGCGGAGATGGTTACCCGGGGGTAGCGCCAGGAGCAGCAAGAACGACGGCAGTGGCGACGACAGCTCCATCTACAGGGGGGCATGCGGTGACGCACGGAGCGGCGTTTACCAAAATCCGGTGACGCACGCGAGCGGCATTTACCATTACTCGTCCCAACAGCAGCAGCCGGAGTACCTTTCCCCCCCGTGCAACAACAGCAGCCCATCCCCAACCCGTACGCTCCTCCGGCGCCTTCGACCGGAGCGTCTCCATCGACTGGTGGGAATTTACATGCGTGTGTGGTGTGGGCTTTTCCAAGTGAGTCTGAGAATGGTGTGCTAGTAGAGCGAAGGGTCGACGGATATGCAATGATGAACGTCCTTGATGAGAGTGTAGGAGACGAAACTTGGCTTGCAGACTCTGGCGCCACGAACCACACCACAGGTGACCCGAGGTGCATGTACGATGTGGTGATTCCTCCGCCAGGTAGAGAGTGAGTAGTGATTGGAGATGGTAGGACGATGCCTGTGCTTGGTATCGGCAGCCTGAACGTCAAGTTCCACAATGGTGGAAACGATTTTTGCGTGAAGCTCACCAACGTGCATCCCGTTGAGGGAATGGGTAACAAGTTGTTTTCGCTTCACAAGGCCATGGGAGGGCAACGCATTAAGATGGATCCTGTAGGTATCCACCTGTTCAACGGTGGATTAACTTTTCCCCGTGGCGAGCGTGGTTCATCCTTGAGAGCGACTCGTCTACCGCCCGACTACACGACGCCAATTGCTGTGCCCGTGGTGACGCCGTTACCCCCGCCTCCCCCTCGCTCTGCAGACGTTGTGAGTGTGACTGGTGTTGCAACGATTCATGCATTCCCCGCATGCAGCATTCTCCCCAAGGTGTAGCGTACATGCCCTCTTCCTCGTTTTCTCGTGTCCCGCCTACCGTCACCAGCGCCGGCAGTGTAGTACCTCCAACGGTGTCTAGGTTCCCGCCCACTGTCAGCAGTGTCGTGCTTCCGTCCGCTCCGACGAGCGTTGTGCCGACCCTCGTCTCTGGTTTCCCGCCCGCTCCCAACAGCGTAGTACATTCTGGTGACCCCACCGCCCACAGATATGCCCCCGTGTCGAATTTTCCGCCCGCTGCAGCCGGCGTAGTACCTTCCACGGTGTATGGTTTCCCGCCCGCTGCAAACAGCGTAGTGCCATCGTCTGTGACCAATATCCCGCCCGCTGCGAGCAGCGTCGTTCCTTCAACAGTGTTTGCCCCCTCCCCCGCTGACAGGAGTGTGGTTTTTCCCTCCGCTCCTCAAGTGCATGGTATGGAGTTGGTAGCTGTTCCCGAGTTACCATCGCCGGACGTCACCGTTTTTCAAGACAATAGTGAGGATGATGACCGTGGGTTTATTCCGTTCACAGAGCACGGAGATTACGCGTGGGCTTTGTACCTCTTAGAACAAAGACAAGAATCGGATGACCCCTACGAGTTTTTAGACTTGATGTTTGAGTCTGGATTTGCCAATGTCTTCGATGATGTTGCTTTCGCCGTTCCCGTTATGGCCCCGGGCAAGCGCCCTTTTTCGGTGGGGAAACCCACCAAGATTATTGACGTTAACCTTCTCCATGTTTCGTCCTCCCACGCCAATGAGTTTCTTTTGCGTGAGCTTGCGAAGCAGCACGGTCTCCGACTGACCGGTGTCCTGCAGCCTTGTGGTGGATGCCTGCAGGCGAAGGGGAAGAAGGCGGGCGTGCCTCACCAATTGGGCACGCGCGCGGAGCGGCCGCACGATCTTTGGTACATCGATCTGTGTGGGCCGATGACGGCCTCGCTGGGGGGTTCGTTTTTCATGATAATATTCGTGAACAGCTTCTCGCGGTGGATGAAGCTGTACGGGATGAGGCGCAAGTCGGACACCCTCGTCCCCGCCGCTGGAGCTACCGGCGCCGGCGGACGAAGGGGGGCATTCGAATGTCGCCGCCGCACTAAATCTAATTAGTTACATTTCACCGCCTCTCTTACCCCCCTCACCGTATGCCCGATCTCCCACTTCACCCGCTGCCATACCCTCACAGGCGCCGCCTGCACCGCCGTTCGCCGCCGCGCCACCTTTCACCATCACCGCGCCGCCGGTACCGCCGTTCGCCGCCGCGCCACCATTCACCACCACCGCGCCGCCTGCAACGCCGCTCGCCGCCGCGACGCCGTTCACCACTGCCGCCTCGCCGCCGGCCGCACCGTTCACCACCGCCACTGAACCGNCGCCAAGGACCAGGGGGCGGGGCGGGCGTCGTCAATGCCGCCCCTCTCTGCCAGGGCCAATCGAGAGCTGGACTTGTGACGAGAGACGCGGGCGCCAGGGAGGTTGAGGGGTCGGCAGGTGCGTTTTCAGGATGGGGGGGCCGAGCGATCGACGTCACCTGGCGGGAGCGGCGACGCTCTCGCCCACCGCTTCGGGCTTGTATCCCTGCAGGACAAGGCAACGCTCCTGTCGACTCTAACCACTCGCAGCATCGTCGATGGGGGGAGAAAGGAGATCCCGAGTTCAGCCGGAGGACGTGATGGAGCGGAGCCGGGGGGGCGAGAGCGGGAGGGCACGAAAACAGAAGGACTGCGTGAAGAAGTCCCATTTGCGTGCGCCACCTTGCTTGCCTCCCGCGAGGACATTGATCGCGCGATGAGGGATTTAGATCCCCCGGAAGTGGCACCGGACTTGCCACAGTGC